TGCCAGGCACCTCGCCGAGACCTTTCACACGCCTGCTCCTCTCACTGGCACGAGTTTCCCTCGAAGTGTGTCTGGCGTGACCCCCCTTTTCAGGTAAGAAAACCGCGTCTCAGAGCCACAACCCCGAGAGGCGGGAGAAGCACGAGCCGCTTCTGCCCCTTCCCACATCCTGAGTTCTCATCCCCCACGGGGGCCGGGGCAGCCTGCCTGTCTGTCCGTGCCCCATCCCCCCTCATCGCATGTGGAGAAAAATAAAGATGAACTGAAAAACCAGGGCTGGGGAGCGTAGACACAGAAGAGGAAGATGAGCCTGGGGAAGGTGGGACTATGTCTACTGGAAAGTTCCAGAACCTCGCAGCCTCTGACTCTTTGGAAAGACGTCTCCCCCAGGCCCTTTCCCTCTCTCCTCCCCCCCCTCGAGCTCCAGTCCTACTGCGCCCTCCCCTCCGTGAGGCTCTGGACCCAAACCCGCTCTCTTCAGAAAAGCCAGGGGCAGGGGTTCGCTCCCGTGCCCCAGACCTCGTGGGCAGAGCCACCCCGTCCTGTCACCTCACTGTGCAACAAGATGTCACGCATGGAACTATTCTTGTCCTCAGCTGGGCTCTGCCTCAGGCGTTTCAAGAAACTGAGCGGCTGTAATGAAGGGTTGGGGGAAGCTCAGGTTCCAAAGACGCTTCCTGCTTAAGGACAGAGCTGTGCCAGCCTCCTGGTGTCATCTGATCACGACTGCCCCAGAACAGGGACGCTCGGGGGACAGAGCAGCGGCTTCAGCCTCGTGGAGGCTGGTCGGAGCCCCGGCGCTCCCTGCAGGGCTCAGCTCCGATCTCCCAGAGTTGCAAGGCCTTCCCGGACCTCACTGCCCTTCTTCCCGCCGCCCATTCACTCCGCAGACGCTTTCTGAGCCGTGGCTGAGCCAGGAGGGAGGGAGGCAAAGACCAACGAGACAGCCCCGCCCTTGAGGCGCTGGCAGGCCAAACAGGGCAGCCGTCAGGAATACGAGAACTAGAAAGAATGGGCATCCCCCTGGTGCCAGGCACAGAACTCAGGGCCGTCCCCTGGGTGTATTTCAGCAATAGCCCCAGTTTAAGGAGAGAAGGCTCTGGAAGGTTAAGCCTCATGCCAGAGGTCACGCAGCACGGGATGCCCACCTCCACCTGTCCAGCCTGGGGGCCTGAGCACTGACCATCAGGCCACATCAGTGAGAACAATGACAGGAATGTGCCCGGATGGGGGCGTTCTAACCCACCTGGGCCAGGCAGTCAGGGAACGAACGCCGTCTGGAGGAGGTGGAGCCGCACCCGAACCTCCCAAACTGAGCTGGGTAACCCAGGGGAGCGGGAAGGCCTTGGGAAGAAAGCAAAGGAAGGCACCGTAGGTGAAGGGGGACTGCCTGGGCGTGGGCGAGGAGGGGGGACGTCCCGAGGGCTGTCGTGGGGTGGGACGAAGGGCCCCACCTTTGTCCCTCCTATCTGCTGTGTCCCTCTTACTGCTGACCTGGCTCTGCAGCAGTCTTCTCACGTTTCCTTGCCTACTGCACCCGGCATGAGGTCGACCTCAGGTCTGCCGACCAGAGAGGTGGGACCAGGAGAGGGGAGAGGCTGCCAGGGCCGTCCCCCTGCTCTCCACGGTGGCTTTGGGGCCAGAACGCAGAGTGGGGACAGGTCCAGGGAGGGACCTGGCACTCTGCATTTCCAACAAGGGGAGGCTCTGCGCCAGGGACCACACTTGGGGTTGCAGGTTGGTAGCTGTGGGATCACTTTGAACACCGCCTGCCTGGTCTGCAGCTGGTACCAGCATCTCTCTCTCCCTCTGTCTGTCTGTCTTTCCCTCCCTCCCTCCCTCCTTCCTCACCAGCTCTCTCTTGAAGCTCAAGGGTTATTAGCTTTTGCCTCAGAGACATGAGGAAAGGGTTCCCCCCTTTTAGGACGGTGGTCCCCTCTCTTTTGGAGCACTGTGGGGCTGTTCCTCATGCTGACCGGCACCCGAGGTGGGCCCTGCAAATCAGGGGGTGGCGGGCGCCTCCCTTCTCCTGCAGCCCTGCTGAGCTCTCGCCCTTGCCCGAGAACTCTGGGTTGACAGCTCATCCCTATTAATTCTCATTGTGCATTTAGAGCCAATCGGTTTTTATTTATTCATTTATCTTAGTCTTCCTTCCCCTGCCCCTTCCTCACCAGGCTGGAATTTACAATTCAGTTCTCAGGTGGCTTTGCTGAAGGACACAAGCCTGGGGCAAGACAGGGTCCACACCCCGAACCCCAGAAGGGGCAGCCGCCCCTTGGCCCCTCTGCACTCTCAGGGTGCTCTGGAGCTCCTGCTCTAGTTGGTGGGATGTTGGGACAGCCCAGAACCTGCTGCAGAAGGGTTGCCTGGGAATAGGGACCCCACCAGGGATGGCCAGGTTAGGGGGCAGTGGGCCACCCAGCTACCATTAGGGCGCCCCCTGGTGGTCAGTTAAGGACACTGGCTGCAGCTGGAGGAGTTTGAGCTGCAGTCCTGAGCCTGGAGATACAGGGCGTGGCATCCTCCAGGCAGAAGGGAGGCAAAGAAGAAAAAGCAGGGACACCATCAAGGCCATGATGACTACAAAAAGAAGCAAATGACAGCTGCCACACATTGAGCACCTACTATGTGCCGGCACTATGTACCCAGGACACACACGCCCGGGCTGCACCCTTCCCCCACATAATGACGGAGGAAGATGCTGAAGCCAGGACAGGGGGGACCCAGCTGCTTTGTGGGTAAGCTCCCAGGCTGCCTTCTAAACCGGGTGACCTTGGCCGGATTCAGGCAACACCTTCTAATCCCTAAACTGGGATTAGAACAGTCCTGCCTCAGACCATCCTGGAGACCAGTAATGAGACACAAACAGAATCTGCTCAGGAGAAACTGCAACCAGCAGCGGTGTGGGGGGGTGGGGGTGAGTCCACCTGGACGGGACCCCTTCCTTCCTGCAGAAGCCGGAAGCCGGCCCACCTCCCAAGAAAGGCTGCCTTCCACCTGACGAGGCAGCGGCCCACACTCGTGACTTGCGTGTGACCATCGGCCACAATGGGACATTCGAGTCCAGCCGACTGGTGTCCAGCAGACGCTGAGGGCCCCCCTGCCGGGGAGGCATCAGAGACCTCCTCTTCTTCCCCTGCCACCCTCTTTGCCTGTCTGACTTCCCCGGGAAAAGCAGGCAGAGTCAAAAGCCTCTTCCCAAGCTCTGGGCTCAGGCTGGACTGTGGGGTGACTACCCACCCTGGCAGCTGCAACAGGTTCTCTGGGTGAGGGTGGAGGTCCAGGGCCAAGGGCATCCAAGCCAGCTTTGGCCAGGATAGGCCTTTGGACTTGCCTCTGATGGTCATCTCCACACCTCCAGTCCTTGATCAGAAGCTGGCCCAGCGATTTATGATTTAGCTGCCCCGCCCCCACCGCTCCCCCAGCACATTAAGGCAACGATTAATATTTAACAGAAGCAATATTGTCAAGACTCTAACACGAGAGGCAGAGGTTGCCTCTGCCCAGGGAGTGTGTGCTGAAGCCCTCACGTGAGCTGGGTGGGCAGCCAGCCTGAGGTGCAGGCTCAGAGCTGGGCTCCCCCTGGCCCTGCTCCTGACCTTAAGGGACCAGCCTCCTTGCCTGTCCCTGAGCCAGTGAAGCTCTGGGGACCTCAGTGCTGTGATCCCCACGAACTCTAGCCCCCAGCTCCCGGCCTGCGCTCCCTCCCACCCTCTCTCCTCATTTCAGCCAATAACCACCTGGGCCGACTGCTCTGGGATGGGACCAATGTGTCCCCTGGGACTGAGGCCTCCTCAGGAGCCTGGTAGGGACACTGGCTCAGCCCAGCTACAAACCAGAGACCAGGCGGCTCCCCCAGGGACATGGAGGCATCAGACACCCCAAGGACGACACTGAGCCCCTCCTGTAAGCTCCTGCCTGGTCCCCTGCCAGGCACTGGGCCTGCAGAGCAGGGCCCGGTGGGGAAGGCCCCTCTAGACAGGCAGTCGGCCCAGTGACTCAGGGGCTGGACATCCGACTCGCAGTGTCACCAGTTCCTGGTGGGTGACTCTGAGCCTCAGTGTCTCCACCTGTGTGATGAGAATGGCAACGGCTGCCGTCTGGGGACACCTGCTTGGTGTCAGACCCTATTCCAAGCATTTCACATTATAAATTAGTTCGCGTCCTCCTTACCATGACCTAGGAGTGTGTGCTGTCAGGGTGCCCATTGTACAGAAGGTGGCACAGTGGCCCAGGGATGTTGCCGATGCAGAGCCACACCCGACAGCTTCTACAGAACCACCCTGGCTGAACGGAGGGGACGTTTGGAGAATGAGGGGTGTAGGCTCCGCCCACAGACTCCTGGAGCGTGCAGAAGTGGCCCCTGCTGCGGCTGCTGCTGTTACCAGGGCTTGCGAACTGGACTGCTCCGCGGCAGACAGGGATGCCGCCGGAGGGGCCCAGACACACTGCCCATCCTGGTCTGACTCCTCCTGCCTCCCTGGCGCAGACCCTCTGCACGTCCATCACGCCTCCCCCCGCCAGGTGCCAGCTCGGTGCCTGGCGTACCCTGCAGGGCCTGGCGAAACTGTGTGCTGGGCTGGATGGGCCGGGACAGGAGGCCGTCGGGCAGAAGGGAAGAGCAGGAGGAGGGCAGAGCGTAGTGTTGTGAACGGCACCTGGCTCACTCGCCCAGAATGCTGACTTCCTACAAGGGAGGCGGGGCTTATCTGCGAGGCTGGAACTTCAACAACTGTGGTCTTCGCAAGAGAACAAGATTCGATGGTCCGCTGCCTAAATTTCCCCACTCGGAGAATAATGTCACCTGACCCCAGAGTCCTCAGGGTGGCCTTGGCTTTGGCACATTTCCAAGGCGGGGCAGAAACCTGGTCCCGGTCCAAAATGCAGGATGGCCAACCTAGCACTTGCTCCTCCCACTCTGCTCACCCGTCCCAGGGGTCTGTCCCAGGCCCCACCCTCCCACTGGCCACAGCATACCCAGAAGCAGCAAGCTGACTTACGTGGGAGCAGAATCTCTCAGGGGGGTCTCCGCACGTGATGCCCGAAGGCTCCACCTTCACCTTGACATAGTCCTTCAGGCGCATCACCTTGGGCTGGCAGGCGTAGAACTCCCAGCTGGGGCCCTCCTCCGAGGTCACCCAGGACTTGCAGATGTCATAGTCCCCTGAGGCCAGTGGGAGGCAGGGCAGGAGGAGAGCCAGCAGGCCCAGCATGGCTGTGCAGTGCGCAGAGAGGCCCCGGAGAAGCAGCGGCTGGGTCAGGCGGGACCGGCGGCGCCGGCATGGAAATGCCACATCTGCCGGGCAATAGAGGCCAGGTGTCCTGGGGACCCGAGTGTGGCTGCCGAGAAGGAACAGCGAGGAGCCCGTTCTTTCCAAAAGGCGGACACGGAAAACTCAGAGCCAGCGTTTCTCAGACCGCTGACGGGCAGGTCAGAAAGTTGCCCACGGCTCGGCGTCCTCGTAACCTTGGCATTGCGCCTCCCCCGGAGGTGAATCTGATCAAGTCAGGTAGACTCTCAAATTGTGACAGAGGGTGGAAATGGGATAGGGAGGAAGGCCACGGGGACCTGGCATGGGGCCGGGTCAGATTGCCTCTAATCTGTGTCCTTCCAGTCGGTCCAGCTCTTCGAAGGGCCCTTCCTGGGTGATGTGCCCGACACCACCGGCAGCACAGCCCTCGGGCCTGTGTCATAAAGAGAAAATAAAATCAGGAGGTGGACGTGTTCGCTGCAGACATGTGCCTCTATGGGGCTGCACTCGGCATCTCAGACCAATAAAAGAGATTTCTTTTCACTCGAGCTTCCAGTGACAGCGACTGTGAGGCTGGACTGGACCATAAAAAAGCTACTGAGGTGTTAACTGGGGAGAAGCTTATTTGGCTCTGCTTTTGTGGGGACAGGCACGAATGGGGGCCAGCTGACCTTGGCTGGTAGCCATTGGCAACTTATTATGAAGTTCTGGGACTTCCGCTCAGCCCATGCAGGTACTCAAGAGTCTGGCTCGTCTTTCATGGGAAGAGGGAGGAGAACTCATTAGCAACAACACCTGCAACGAATTAAAAAGAGAAGGGGGGATAAAGATGTGCGAGAACAAAAGCGCTCTGGCAAAGTGCGCAAAAATGAGGCCGCATTAGCGCGGCCTCCCGAGAAAACTGGGTTATTTTTATAATATTGGAGTCGCGCGTTTGGAAACTGGGAGCATTATTTTGAAGGGGAGGCGTCTTTTCCTCGCCTTGTGGGGGCCTTAGGCCAACAGACTGCTCCTGCTTGGGTCGGCGGCTCCCTCAAACATCGCCCGGTAGCCAAGATGGAATGGTTGCTTTACAACGCCATGACCAAGTCAAAACGTCAAAGCAGAGGTGAGATTGTAAATATGGGTGCTGGGGGGCGGTGCATTCAGGCACAAGTAAACAGATCGGCCGGGGAGCCGCCCAGGGTCAGGAAGCAGGTGCCCGTCAGCGTCTCTCCAAAATCGGAAGTGGTGAGCCTCATCTTTACCTCCAAGAGACCAGGGATGTTGAAGACTCCAACCCGAGTGACAGTGATTTGTCATTTCGACTTTGTGACCAAGGCCGAAACTCTGCAAGCAGCCTGACAGGGCATGTTCAGAAACAGGTCGCTGTTCTGGTTGTTGCTTCACCGTTTTAAGCTACTGGGAATGATCTAAAAGCCTGAACAGATGTAACCAAGGCAAATGTCATCTTGCAAAACGCACGGCTCCAGGGATGTGGTGTGTTCGCAGACACCTGATACATCCATCGCCAGGGGACCGTGAGTCCGGCCAGTGTGGGATCCTGACCAAAAACACTCGCCAGCAGGGCAAAGGTCACTGCAGCGAGTCACAGCAGAACGCTTGCGGTATTGATTATTCTGGCTGTCACCCGTGGTGGTTGCTCCCAATTCCCCACCCGCTGCAGAGGGGCGCCGAGTTCCACCTGACGCCCCCCAGCCACGGTGCACGGAGGGCCCCTGAAGAGGTTAGCTGCACTTCGGCGGAGCCCCCAGGGCACAAACACACGTCTGCCCCACACGACCATCCAGAGGGGAGGACGTTGTCCCAAGGGGGGCTGGCGGCTCAGCGCCTCCCAGGAGAAGCCAGCGCCCCGGGCTTCAGGGCCAGGTCGTAAATCTGAATTAAGGTGGCCCCTGCCCCCACCTCGGTCTGAAGCAGCTCCTGATGGAGATGAATGAGGGGCAACGGGACCACATTCTCATGTCTCACCTCTGGCTGTTGAAAGAGAAACCTGTTATCGAGTCTGCCGGGCCTTGCATGCGCTTCTGGCTAGAAAACTCTCAGAAAGAACCCGCCTGGCGATTATTTTTACAACCCGAGAAAATGTAGTAAAAATAAAATAGCTCGGCCAGCAAAGGTTTAGATGCCTCTCCCTCTACCCAAGCGAGCTCTGTGCCGCCAGGAAACAGCAGGTCCCTAATTAAATCTGCCAGCCGCGGCGTCCCAACTGTTCACTAACAGGTAGGGCGCTCCTGCCGGCGGGGGGCCCTGGGGCGCGGGCTGCGGGCCTCCAGCCTCCCGCCCGCAGGACCAGGCGATTCTCCGCCGCTCGGGGCTCCGCCGGCGCCGCACTGGAGGCAGCGAGGCCCGGAGGCCGAGAGGCCCGGAGGCACGGGCGCGGGGGGCCACTCGCAAACCTATTAATTGCACTGCAGTTCTGTGGGCTTAAATGCCACGCGTTCCCTGGAAAATGGGCGGGGGGGGGGAGGCGGACAACAACAAAATCTGCCGGGAGCGGGGGGGTAATAAATGTGTTTACAACTAGTCAATCAGCTGGGCGTTGCTGCCATCGTGGGGGAATTGTGAACTCAGCACGCAAATATTACAGTCGGTTTTTGCCAAAAAGAGGAAAAAAAAAAAAAGGGAGGGGGCGGAGAGACGCAACAGTCCCCGGAATAAGGAGCCGGGAAGCGGGAGAGAGCAGCCAGCCGGGAAATTTCAGAGTAAGAGGTTGTATCCCGGTGGGTCGTTTTCTGCTTGGAAAATAAATCTTCGCCTGATATTATTAAGAAACTGCGGCTCCCGCAACAAATGGAGTCGATGCGCTCTATTTTCTCTTCGGAGTCCTCTGGAGCCGAGGGGGCCGATGGCCACGGCATTAAAACCCGAAAATTAGATTTTACCGGCATTTCTGAACTCCGATTTCTCGGTCTTATTGAATTAGCGCCTCTCCGAGCCGGCTCCTCCCGGACTCGCGGGCTGCGCCCTCGTGGGAAACTTGCCGCCGTGGGCGCGGGGCCCGTGGGGACGCTGGAGGGGGGCGCCGCGGGTTCCTCCCGGGACCCGGCCGCCCCGAGGTTTCCGCTCCCTTCCCGGCGCGGGCAGCCCCGGAGGGCGAAAGCGCCTGCCCGGGGAGGTGCCCGGCGGAAAAGGGGGCGCCGCCGGGGTCACCTTCCCGGCCTCCGCTCCCCTCCCCGCGCCGGGCCGGGCTCCGTCGGTGCCCCTCTCACCGCCGGCTCCGCGAGCGTCCCGGTGCCGGAGCCTCGGTGGCCCGGCCCCGGAACAGGACCCTCCTCCGCCTCCCGATGAGCCCACGCCCTCTCGGCGACCGCGGAGCCCCGAAAAGTTCAGCGCGGGAGACGGGGCGCGAGGAAGAGGCCTCGGCTGGGCTGCGGGGCCCGGGCGGGTCCGCTGCCCGCCGCGGGGTCCGGGTGAGTCCGCGTGAGTCCGCGCTTCGGGTCGGCTGCAAACGGCGTGCGCGGCGCGCGAACGCGCGGGGCAATCCCGCGGCCGCTTTCGGTCTCCCGAAGTTGCGTGCAGGCCGCCGGGGCAGTGAATAATCTCGCCCTTAACTGAGGCCGGGCCGGCCCCGAGGGTGCCCCTCGTCGGGCGCAGCCTCGGTCCCCGAGGAGACACCCAGCGACGCGCCGCCCGGGGCTCGCGTCCTTCTCCCGGCTCTGCCGCCAGCAGCGACCCTGCCGCCCCCCCCCGTCCCCCGCCCCCCGCCCCGGACCCACGCGGGCAACTTACTCCGGATCCGGCGACCCCGCAAGCCCACGGTCCTCTTCCCGCCGCTTCCGCGCCCCCCAACTGCGCACCACCCAGTTCGAGGTGCGACTCCACTTCGTCCCCAAGCCTGTCCCTGCGCCACCCCTCCCCCGGAAATCCACCCCTCCCGGCTCGGAGAGAAGTTTCCAGTCCTGGCCGGCCCAGAGTTTCGCTGTGCAATTCACGCCCAGTTTTCGGAGAGATGAGAAGGGGGTGAGGGGATGGGGGGCTCTGCAGGGAGGTATTAAACTGGGGGGGGGGGAGTGGCGCGAGAGAAGGGCGAATTTCCTTTCCGCAAACACACCCGGGCGGTCTCCATCCCCAGCACACACGCGCGCACACACACGCGCACGATGGAAAAAGCCCCTGGTGGGGAAAAGCCGGCGCGGAAGACCAGCGACTCCTTTAAGACGCCGCTACAACTGCACTCACACGCCCCTCTCCGGCTCCGGTCCTCCGCCAGCGGCAGCCGCGACCAAATAACTTTTGCATCCGAGCCTCTGCTGGGCGGCCGTCCGTGGCTCCCGGCCCGGGAAGCCTGCATGGGCACCGAAGCCCTTTAAAAACGAAACCAGGCTGGCAAAGCTGCAGCAGCGCTCCCCCCGCCCGCCTTACCCGGGCTCTCCCCGCCCGCCTTACCCGGGCTCCGAGCAGCTCCCCGGCGCGGAGACCCGGGAGGCCGAGGACCGCCTCTCCGCTCTGGCTGGCGCTGGGCGGGGGCGCGGGCTGAGGGCTGAGGGCTGAGGGCTGAGGGCTGCGGCTCCGTCCCCGCGCCGCTCCCGCCGCCGCCGGGGCTGTCAGCGCGGGGCTGGGGCGCCCTCCGGCCGCAGGGGGGGCCGCCCGCAGCCGTCCCGGGGACGCGGGCCGGGGGAGGGGGCCGCCCGCGCCGCCCGCATCGCCCGCCCCGGCCGAGCGGGAGGTCGCCGCTAACAAGTGCAAACTTTTCGGGCCCCCGGGGCGGCGTGGAGAGGACCCGCGCTCCGGCGCCCGGCTGCCCCCGGCCCGGGTGGGCTTCGCGGCGGCTCGTCGGGGCTCCGGGGCATCCCCCCGCGCGGGGCGAGCCGGATGGCGGGGCGCTTCACGGCCCCCCTGCACTCCGCTCCAAGTTAACGCCGATGCTAAATCCTCCTGCCATCACTCACGATCACCATCGCGGCTTTTATCTCCCGGTCTGATCCGGGCTGCGTAACTTCCTCTGTGTGGCTTTAACACACCATCCCACCGCGGAGCAACGGTCTTCTTAAAGGTGCAGGGAGGAAATACGGCGAGGCTCGGGGGCCGCGCCACGGCCCCGGGAGGGGCGCCGCGAGCAGGGGCGTCCCGGCGGGCCCGCAGCCAGGGTGGCCCCCGCAGGCGGCCGCGGAAACGAGCCTGCCCTGGGGGGTCGCTGCCTAGACATCTCCCCCCCGGCCCGGGGGCCAGCGGGTCCCCGCGCGCAGGGCGCGTCCTCAGCCAGCGCGGGTCAGGCGCCGCAGGGCTGCAGCTTCCTTTCCGGAATCCCGGGCCCTGGGGCCTGACCGGGTGCCAGCGCCCATGGGCGTGGGGGCTGCCCCATCGGTGGCACCAGGGAGGGGACCAAGTGAGTCAGTCCGCCCACCCCAACAGCCAAGGGCTCAAGGCTGCTGCTCCGACTCCCTCCGCGAAGTGCTGCCGCCCAGAAGGCCCCGAGCAGTGGGTAAAGGGGTGGGTGGGTGGATTTGGGGAGATGGGGAGGGGGAGCGATTGGAGCGCACTACCAGAGCCTGAATACCAGCTGACACATGCCGCCTCCACCCTGATGGGCCCTGCTTTTGAGAAGCCAAGCCGTCTCAGAGGGAGTGCAGAGCAGGGGGCAGCGGGGCGGAGGGCCTCAGGCCCCCACCAGCTCTGGAGGAGGGCCGGGGAGGACTCCCTCGGGGGCCAGGGCAGAGGCCACCCAGTTGGCAACCCCGGGCAGCCCTGGGTTCTTCGTCCCCTCCGCTGCAAAGGGAGGTTTCCTGCCAGCCTGCCTCCCAGGGTGGTGGGAAGAGCTCCTCAGTGGGGTCTGGCAGGGGGCGTGTGGCTTCCTGGGGCCTCCTCCCGGGTGGGCTGTCACAGCAGCGCCCAGCAGACGGCCCCCTGGTTGGGGTGCGTGGAGAACAAAGAGCCTTGAGGGCAGAGACAGGAAGAGGGGGACTTGTCCAAGGTCACGGAGGGTGTCAGCAATGGGAGCAAGGTGTGGCACCTCGGTGCCCCACCCTGCCGCTACCTGCTGCCCTGGCCCTAACCCTTCCTGGTGCCTGGTGCCCCCCCGAGTGCATAGAGGGGCCGTGCTGCTGAGTAACACGGAGGCTGCTGCCATAGAGCGGGCAGAGGATGCAGGGTCGAAGATGCTCTTGTGCTTTAATAACAATAGTAATTGCTCTTTGACGTTTATCGAATGGCTGTTTCATGCCAGGCTCCATGAAAACCAGACTGTGTACTATCCACAGATTCTTCCCAATGTCTCTATGACTTAGTTTCCCTGAGCCGAGTTCCAAGGTAGGGATGACACTTAGAGATGTTAAGTTCCTTGCTTAAGGTCACACGGCAGGGAAGGAAGTCTCTGGCCTGGGAGGCAGGTCCCACAGCCGCCCCTCCCCCACCCTGTGGGACTCTGCCACTGCCTGACTGGCTGGTTAACTTGGGGCCCACAACAGGTTGCTTGGGGGCCTCAGTTTCCCCATCTGTGAGATGTGAATAACGAGTCTTTCCTTTCTAAGGAGGGGTCAAAACAAGGCCATCAAGTGGCTCCTCCTGCCTCGGGGCTCAGATCCCAGCCCCCAGGGAGGGGCCCACCACCCCAAGCTGTCCCTGAGAGCAGATGCCCTGCAGCCCCCGGCACTGGCCACACGGCGTCCAGCAGGAAGACGCTCCTCCTCGGGGAGGACGGGTCTCGGTCTGAGTTTTGAGCACTGGGCCTGCAGGCAGCCCCCCGCCCGCTGTCGCCCCAGGTGTGGTCACCAGTCCCCGGACTGCTCTGCTCCTCCGCCGTCACCTGTCCAGATGCTGCCAGGGCAAGGCTGGAGGAGGATGCTCCTTGCTGTGGTTCCTTTAAACACACTCCAGGGCCTTCGGTGTGTCCTTCTGCCATTGCCAGGGTGGCTTCTGTGACCCGGAGCCAAAGCTGTGTGCTGCTGGAAACAAAGTCTTCGCCAGCCTGCAGCCCCGCCTTCCCGGACGCCCTGCCCCTCCAGCTCGGAGGCCAGCAGGCTTTCTCAGGGGCCACTCATTGGTCCAGGGAGGTGGTTCCTGACCCTGAGCTGACAGTGGGCCACAGCAGCCTCCAAGAGACACCTTCCTTCTGAGTGAACAGCAACGTGCTCATTTCTCAGGACGGGGAGCAAATAGGATTCCAGCCACGTAGGGACCAGGTGGTTAGGGGATGTTCATTTTTAAACTTCATCGCGGTGCCTTATGACAAATGACCTTTTCCCGGCCACGACAAGGAACGGAGCACCAGGGGCAGGAGAGTGTTAACGAATCTCCCACCAAATCATCGCTGGCTCCCCCTCACCAGCAGCCCAGTCGCCCTCCTCATCTGGGGGCTCGGCTCCGTGGCAGTTTCGTCGGAATTGCGCGTGTGGACTCGCCTATCGGAAGCACTGCAGAACAATGCCGTCACTTCTCTCCCACCTGGCTCTTTAAAGAGAGACGCATGAAAGGGTGTGTGTGCGTGGACATACCTGTACATACATGAGAGGAGGACACTAGAGCATGAACAGGGAGACGGGGCCATGGCATGTATCACTGTAGAGGCTCCTTCTGTGCGCTCAACTCTGACCACGAGGAACCGCGTCCGTGAGGTGGACAAGGAGCAGGAAATTATAAAGTCACACAAAGATGATCCACCAGCTTTGCCATGAGAGCTAACATGAGGCCCAGGCCCTCTGGAGGTTTCTGAGAGACGGCAAATCCTCCTGCAGACGGACAAAAGGACAGGCTGAGAAAATGAGCTCCCACCACCAATTAGAGGCCAGGGGAGCCCAAAAGCCGCCCCGACCTGCACTAGCCTTGTTCACTCCATCTCCACTATGCCAGACCGAGGTTTTGCTTTGTCCCCTTGACCTTGAGCAGCTGACACGTGGCTGTAAGTAGTAGGTGAGCTCCTGGGAACCAGCCCAGGACCTTCTAGGGGCTTCTAGGCAGGGTTGGGCCCTCGACCCCACGGCCAAGGCGGGGTTGGGGGAGAGAGGGCGAGACCCAGGCCACGGGCCTTCCGCAATGTTACCCCCCACCACCCCCGCCCCCGGCAGCGGCAGAGGCTGCCAGAAGCACCCTGGCTCCTCTCTGTCAGTTTTCCGCTCTCACAATCCAGTCCATACTCCCATTAATTATTATTACTTTATTAATCATGCTGTGATTAATTCAGTAATGGTGATTCATAATTGATTGCATTTTATACAGCGCCTCCATCCACACGTCTCCCGAGATGTGCGCCGCCCGCACAGACGCCCAGAGGAGGCGTGTTCTTTGCTCTCCGCGTTTTGTTGAATAAACTTCCCTTCCGGAGGCAGGGGGCTGACGGCGTTCAGGCAGCCTGGCCTCGCCAGCCCCAGCTCCACGCCCATCACCCTGGCAGAGTGCGCAGGCAATGCCTTCCGGCCCGGGGCCCCTGCTGTGCCCCGCCTTGCCTGGTGCAGCCAGGTACCGTGAACCTCTCGGACCCCGTTCCCCGGTCAGGCGGGTGTGAAGGGGCCCCAGGCTGGACAGCTTGCGCTCTGCCGGGGGTGGGGGGGTGCATGACCGGTGGCCCCGGCCCAGGGCTCTCAAGCTTGACTTTGGTGTGGGAGTCCTGCCTCTCCCGTTAATTATCTGTGTGACCCTGAGTAAGCTACCACCCCTTCCTGCCTCCGTTTACCCAAATGAAAGCTGAGATGAGTAAAAGTCTCTCTCGCTAGGGTTATTGCAAAATTTGCCCACGACGACGTGCATGAAGCACATGGTGAGGGCGCAGTCGATGTGAACGGCAGCTGTGGGAGTTGAGCCTCGGGCAAAGGCCCCCCCACCAAGCCCCTGGTGCCGCCTCTGGAAAATGGGGATGATGCCGGTGTCCAATGCCAAGCCTCAGTGTGAGGACTGAATGAGCTGCTGGTTTCTAGGAAGTGCTTAGCACCAGGTGGCTCTGGCCTTCTGCAGCTGTCTGCGGGTGTCCTGGGCACCTGTGTTCCCGCGCCCTGTGAAAGACGCTGTCACCCTCCCTGCCATTCAGGGAGGACACGCAGGTTGAATCGGTGCTGGGCGACCCGGGTAGGGCTGAGTGCGGGCCGGTGTTTGCGGCCAGGCCTCACGGCCAGGTCACGGCACAACCAGGTCACGGGTGTAGTGTCCAACTGAGTGGACACTCCCGGACAGTTCCCTCCCCAACAGCCCTGCAGGGCACCAGCACCTCAGTCCCCTCTTGGTAGCAGACCTGGGGACTCAGAGGTCCAGCCCTTCTCCAGGGTGCACGGCCGGCGAGCAGCGGGTGGGTTCTCAGAACAGGTCTGCTGCACGGGCACATGCACCACCGGGCTGCCCCCACTCCCACCCCCACACGGCTGGGTTTCCTTCCACACGGGACGGTCCTGTTTGTTCCTGAGCCCAGTAGGGAGAGAGCTCAGCCCAGGAGGAGCCCAGCTTCTCCCAGCGAAGCTGCTCAGCTCCTTCTCGAGGGCTGCCCCCCCAGTTCCCGGGGGACCAGCAGACAGCTGGGGTTTGGGGTTTCAGCCCCGTTAGTGCCCAGAGGGTGCCCAGAGCGCCTTTGACAGATAGCAGGTCTCTGGTGCAAAGGTTGCACAGGCAGAACCAGCCGTTGCTCGGGCCCGTGCGTCTGGGGGCTCCTGGGTGTGTGGGCACATCCCACTCGAAGCCCCCAGGACAGTGCAGCTACCATCAGCCACAGTCAACCATGAAATGTGACTCTGGACCTTGGAAACTTGTCTGATTTCTTACCTCCTGACCCTTGGCCTAATGGATGGGTCACTGTCCCCTCGCTCTATGGACTTTGCTGGCTGTTCCCACAATCTCTAGGATGTCCCACGCTGTGCCCACTGCCAGGATGGCTCCTCCAAATCCCAGGGGTCCCAGCAAGCAAGAATGCTCAGCCCACTGGGAAGGTGAGATGCTGCCTTTGGCTTTGAACTCATGAGGCAGCCAAACTGGGGTGACACCAGAAGCCA